CAGACTGATACCATCGCACACCCACCCCAACGCAGGACCACCCACCCCCCAGAACTGGAGCCCCAGCACCTGCCCTTCATCCCCAGAGGCATGTAACACTGCAACACCCCCCCCCCACACACACACACACAGACCACCCATAGGTGCAGGAGGCAAATGTGGTCCACGGTGGTGGTGGGGTGCTCCACTCCTGCACTCCCAAGCCCCCTCCCACCCATGTAACCCCCCAAAGAAAAATAGCTGGGCTCTCCAGAGCCACCTCTCCCACAGTACCCCACTGGGGGGGGGAAATCAGGACCCAGAAGAGCTCAAGAGGCCCCTCCATACCAGGACCCTCTTCAAATACAACCACAAACCCTCATAAATCACCAGACCCCTTCCTAAAATATCCACACATATAAACAGGGACACCCCTAAACACCAGGGAGGGGTCCCTGGGGTGCAGCTGTGTAGGACGCAAGACATGGGGGACCCCCCCCCATTCACCTCCATGGGCAGAACACTGCCAGGGACGAGGCAGCCACAGTTGTGCTTCACTCCTGGCTCTGCTCCCCTCAGAGCTCCCTGGAGCTAGGGGGGCTGTAGGTCCTGCTCACTGTGGCCATCTCAGCCCCAAACCTCTCTCTGCTCATGGGTTCTTGAACCATTTCCTTCCTGGTACCTGTACTGGGCCAAGCATGGGTGACCCAAATAGGGTGAGCGTGAGGGTGGATGGGACTTGGAGCAAGCTGCTCTAGTGGAAGGTGTCCCTGCCCGTGGCAGGGGTTGGAACTGGGTGAGCTTTAAGGTCCCTTCCAACCCAAACCAGTCTGGGGTTCTATTAATTGATTCAGCATCTTAATGACAGGTGACACAGAGCTTCTCCTCCTAGTTCCAAAGTCAAGTCCTGAAGGAAACGGATGTGCCCCTACCCTCTCCTCAAGATGTGCAGCTCTTCAGGGCCAGATACGTGTAAGTCTGTAAGACCAACATCTGGAGAGACATCAGCTTCATTCCCCCCTTGCCATTATCCCACTTTCACATGGTCAAGTGCATTCCCTGAGGAAACCCAGCACCAGCTCCTGGTATCCACAGGAATGGGCAGCATTTCCCACTGTACTTTGTCAGGAAGCGCTGTCTCCTGTGGGAACGTTCTCTCAGCAGAAAGTGTTTCAGTCTGTGCTGGAACCACGGCCATAAACTGTCTTCTGCTGTCCTGAAACCACAACTGCCCCTCTCCTGCAGGCAGAGCCCTTCCCAGTAACCCCTCAGTGATGATCCCAAGGCTCCAAGAACACAGATCAGCAGCAATGCATCCTCTTGGTCCATTCAGCAATGGCAAAGGCAGGGGCAGGGTGCAGAAACAAATGAAGTTTCTCCATCAAGTCACTGACCTCGTCCAAGTGATGGGGCAGCATCCTCAAGAGGAAACTGTTGTCGCATTTCGGCTTGTTCCATCCCAACATCAGACAGAGGTGACTGTGGCTGAGATTTGCTGCTCCCACAACAGGACCAGCACTGTATTCCATATCTGCAAACACTGAAGACAAAGGGAATCCCTCTGCTGCAGCTCCAGCCCATTCACAAGTTCTCCAGAAGCTCAAACACCTGATTCATTGATAGGAATCTTGGCAAGCCCCTCTCTGACAGGGATCCCAGCCTGGTTTGTGTTGGAAGGGACCTTAAAGTTCACCCAGTTCCAACCACTGCCACAGGCAGGGACACCTTCCACTAGAGCAGGGTGCTCCAAGCCCCATCCAACCTGGCCTTGAACACTGCCAGGGATGGGGCACCACTTCCAAGGTCCAACAGAGCACCAGCAGATCTGCAGACCCCCAATCCCAGCTTGCCTGTGTGCAAGGATTGAGGGGGCAAGCACCACCTGGAGAACAGAGGAGCCAGGCTCACCCACCACTGCCCTTTTTATATAGTAATTTGATGCAGCAAGAGAGAAAAATCAGGAAGAGCTGACAGCATCAGCTGCCACCCTGCAAGCCACAGGTTCCCCTAACTCACAGTGCCTGTTCCTGTGCTCAGTGGTAATAGCACACATAAACCATGAACAAAATAAGACAGGAATGTCAAGAATTGATGTGCCAAACACATTATCTTAAATGAAACTTTGGACTGGCCTTGAGTCTGACCATGAGGAACGCAGCTACCGCACATCAGCCTGCCAGGGTTTCAGAAGGAAGAAATCCCACTTCCCGAAGCTCTTGGATCCGAAATCCCTGGTAGCAAAAATTTATTCTCATGACTTGAAGACAAGGAGAAATTTATAAATGTGTTCTAGACCCAGCCAATAGGACAGTGACTGTTCCGTTCCTGTCACTTCTACCTGGGAGCCAAACAGCCGAACCAGCTCTGCCGGGTACATGGTGCCAACCAGGAGCATGTCCCCTGTCCCTCCTGGTTCCCAACCCCATGCACGCCAGGGAAGTCTCTTTGGAAGGTCCGCAGTGTTTCCAGCCTAGTGTCCACCGTCAAAGGGAGCAAGAACAAAGCAGCACAACTCATCTCAAACCCGACACACACCCACATTATTAGATTCTCCTAAAAAATAAGTAGTTCCAATCCATCTCTTCTCCCCCCGGGAGCCCTTGTGCTGGGGCCTGGGCTCAGCGCATGAGCAGGCTGTGCTTTGGTCCATCCACTCTCTCCAGCTTCTCAAAGTGTTTTCTGGCATTGCGGATGTTGATCAGCGTGGCCGCAGAGGCTAGGGCAGAGCACGGACAGGGGAGACAGGAACAAGTTAGAAGGGATGTGAGAAAGCAACATCCTCATCCCCAAACTCTCTTATTTTAACCCCACTCCTCAAAGCCTGCAGGGCTTGGGGCATCCTGATCTAGTGGAAAGTGTCCCTGCTCGTGGCAGGGTGCTGGAGCACAGTGTCAGCCACACAGTGTCCACCACAGAGTGTCTCTCAAGCACCTCAAACCCTCTCTAGAGCGGTTTCAACTGGAGCTGTGTGAACAGTTAAACAGTCCCTCTGTGCCCCCAAGGGCTGGCGCTGCCGCCTGCAGCTTCTTCCTTAAGATAAATAGATGCTGCTATAATTAGAAGCATTGGCCCATCAAGACGGTCCAGGCAGTAAGAGCAAGAGCTCCAACAGGATCCAGCTCTGCTTCCTCTCCAAACATCACCAGGGCTGCCAGAGAACAGCCCAAAATAGGTTATTAGACACGAGCTACTAAATCAGGTCACATCTGTTAGAGCAGTCCCCTCCACTCACAGAAACACACAGCTCAGCTCTCCAGGCACACGTCTTCTTGCCTCCTCTGGTCACTTTTTTAGCCACCCCCTGCTCAAATCCCTCCCTGTCTTTTCATTACAATCAGGTTCTCTGCTTTACCCAGTGTCTGTTGTTTCGCAAGGGAAACACAGTTTAAACCAGACCCATTCACCTTTCCGTCCCTGCAAACACACACAGGCCAAGGGCTTGATCTTTGTTTCAACTTACGTATGGAAGGGTCTGACATAACCACCATCACATATGTATTTGATGTAAAGATGTCGATGAAAGCAGCAAAGTTTGAGTTCCTGACCTCCATGCTCTGGAAAGAAGCTGCCAGCTTACTGAGAGGGGAGACAAAAGGGAAAGAAAGGGAAAACCAGAGTAAATGACTGATTGCTGTAGCACTGCTCCATAAGCTTCGGTGCCCACAGAGCAAACATCCCTTTATATGAGCTGTTGGTAACAAAGAAGTGTTTGAGTCCCACTTGGCAGGGGACACCAGGTGTGACCACATGTTTGGTTGTTGGGTTTTATTCTCTTTTAACAAAAATACTCTCTACTTTAGGCTGAGAACACTCTGAAGTGATTTGCACATGGAATGGCAAAGGTAACTCAAGATACACAACCCCACAGAGGCTGCTGTGCCCATGCACTGTCACTTGCCCCATGGATGTGACAGCTCAGCCATGCACAAGGACAGTTGAACACTGAAGCATCTGCAGACAGCTGTGAGACACAGGGGCCCTCCTCCATCCTGCCCAGGCTTCAAGCGCTTGCAGATACTACCAACAGCCTGTGGGACCTGGAGGAGGTTCAAAAGCCAAGAGACTTCCCACTTGTCCAGTCAAAACATCAATAAACAGCGTTTGCAAACCTCCTCCTCCCACAGCAGCACCCGAGTTGACTGTCAGCAGTTTATCATCACTTCAGTCCTGGAACCTCCCTGCCTTGCCCAGGAGGAGAAGAAAATGGGTTTCCAACCAAACCTCTTTCAACCAGCAGCAAAGGAGGAAGTCACAAAGGACAACGATTAACTCAGTGTTGAAGCAGGGTGCAATTTAACTGCAGCATTTCACAGAACTTTTATCAGTGTGGAGAGCCTCTGCTTGACTGGAGAATACTGCAGTACCTGCTGAGGGATCTTCCCCACTCAATGCTGCACCCAGCTCACCTGCAGCTTAGCTTGAATTGCTTTATTATGTTGCTGATCTTCTCAAACCTGTGGACATCCCGTTGTTCTTTGCACTGATAGTGAGAAATGACCTGGAAGACAAAAGGAGAGAGCAGGGAGTTAGTGAGGGATTCCTGTCAGTGCAGATTCCTCACGCTTTTATGGGAAGCAGGTGGTGACCAGGACTGAGATTCCCTTTGCCTTTGGCTTATTGAATCTTGGAACCTGTTTGCAACAAGACTGGTGCTTTCTTGATGAAACAAGCTCAGTAACACAATCACCAGGAAGCGTTTCACAGGCAGATGCAAGTATTGTAAGACATACAAGAGACAAAACTGCTCATTTGGGGTCTGAGTACCCCAACCCAGCAGCAGTTTAAATCTTGACTCAAAGAAAAGGTGCAAGCAGAGGAGGGGAAATGCCAGGCCACCGCCTTAAGTAGAGGAACTGGGCACTTCACCAGTGTTGGAATAGCTTTTACTTCCCAAGGCTATTGTGCTGCAGGCTCCTGAGGAGTGAATCTGAGGAATTCACATTCTGCAACAGGCAGGATGCTCACACGCTGCCCTCAAAGCCAAAGCTCCTCCGCAGGAGAAGCAGAACAAAGGCAGCTGGTTTCCTCAGGAGCTCCCTCTCCACCAGTTCAGAGTAACATCAAGCCTGTGCTAAGCTGCCTGCACCCACATCAATTCCCTCATCCTCCTCCTCCCACAATCCAGCAGCAACACACAGACCTTGGGGCCTGGCTGCAGGGATCCAGAGGATCTCAGGTGTTTTGGAATCCTTGCAAACGTTCCACAGCTGCATCATCCCAGCCACCTTCACCAAGCTGGTACCCCACAGCCCTTCACTCTTCACCCTCATCAGCTAAGAGGCTGAGATCTACATTACTGCATGAGGGGAATGGCACACGGTGCAAGTTACACCATCTTCATTCTCACAGCAAACCAAAAAGGAGTGTTTTAAAGCCTTATGCTGTGTGCTTTAAGCTCTTCAGAATCATGAAACCAACCACTACTGGAAGCGTCAGATACCTCACACAAGGATGTCAAACTCTTACTCTTCTAACTGTGGAGTCACATTTAACAGCCTTGTGAGAACCAAGTTTTGGGGTTGTTATTTTCCCTTAGAACTCCTTTAAATGACAATGTATTTCCTACTGTTTTAAACCTGCCCAGTTATTCATACTGGTACAGGTTTAGCCAGGTTCAAGGGCTGCAAGCCTTCTATACACCAAAAGCCTTCCCTGAATGCAGGTTTGTTCCTTAACTCTCCAGATGGGTTTTTCTGTTATTGTGATTTAAATACAATTTCAGAGGAAGATTTCACTTCAGGAGAAAAGAGTCCTGAGGGAAGCTTAAATATATGAAAGAAACACTGAGAAGAAAAAGACTCTTAAAAGTGACCACAACACTGAGATCAGCACCAGCTTTTTGTAGATTATTCTTTTCCAGTAAAAAAGGTACTTCTAACCAAAGTACTGCTACATACACCAGGGTGGAACCACTTATTATCTGCAAAAGGTCAAAAGCAGAACTGGCCACAAATGGTGGGGCTTTACTTCTGGTAGTTTAAGTAGTGAGCAAAGCAACGGCTCCTTCTCCATGTTCCTCCATCACTTCAAAATCAGACATTTGGCCAGCAAGGAAAGCACTTGAAAAACAACACATCAAACCCACTCCTCAGGTCAGCAAGAGATCTGTGTGAGTCTGAAGAGACACATCCCGAAACCAAGAGTATGGATGGACATGCAGCAATGGTGGGTTTAACCAACACATTTTACTTTGCAGATACAACAGGTTGGAAGCAGAGTTACTATACACTGGTCACTCTGAAAGCTGTTGTAAACCCATCGCTTGTGATTCCCCATCCATACTCTGGGTTTGTAGAGATCAAACAAAGAAAAGAAGAAGAGAAAGTAATCAAGCCCAGTTAAAAACCCTGAAAAGGCTTTTCTGAAGGTACAGAAGGTTCCTGCCCTGTGCAGAAAGGCATTTTCAAGGAAGTCCCATGGCCAGCAACAGAATGGGGATATGAAACCCTCTCATAGCCTGAAAAAGGGAAATGCTGATCAAGCCCTCAGCAAAACTGCCAGAAGTGGAAGTTTGGGAAGGTCCCTGGAGCCATGGAGCCATGTCAGCTACTTTCAGTGTCACAAGGTATGGATTGAGGCCTCCTGCCATCTGGCGCTGGCTCCTCTCTGTGGGCTATTGCCACAGCACCTTCCAGGGGGAAACCGTGTCCCAGGCTGGGCAGAGGACCCGAAGGACGGAGCTGTTGTATTCACCAGGAACGTGGCTCTCTCAAACAGAAGCACTTCGTCTGCCTCGATGATCTGAGCAAAGTTCCTCAGGTTCATTTCCAGCTGCTGGACATTGGGGATCAGCTGATAGACTATACTGGACCAAGCCTGTCAATGAAGAAAGACACAACATAAGGGCCGAGTTCGCACTTCTCTGCCCCCTCCTATCATAATGCAACGTACTCCAAACCAGTTCTGGGTGCTGATAGCCTCGGCAAGGCTGATAAGCTTCTCCCATCTCCATATCCATGTATCTCTACTACAGTGGAAACCACCAGTGGTACCCCAGCCCTGAGTAAACTCTTCTTTAGGTCAAGTTCTTCTCCACAACAGTCACAGAGAAACTAGACTGCTACTAACAGGCTTAAATCCTCCTCGTTTGAAGCTGTCAATGCTTCTCTGCTCCCAGATAAACCTGCTCAGGTTTCCAGAGTCTCTGTTAATTTTGAGCAAGGTCAGCATGCAGAGGGATACTTGGCAGCTCCAAACACAAAGCTCTCATCTAACCCAGTGAGTCAGTGACAAAGCCAGAAGGGACAGGGGATGCTCTAATAGGCATCTGTCCTCATTCAGACTCAGATCCTCGAAGCTCAGCTCAGCTGACCTCACTGCCACCTCCTGACCCAGGTTTGGGTCAGTGCCTGGCCACACGCTTCCCCCCACACTCAGGCTGGATAAACATGACTAAAAAGATGCAGAAGTTGTTTCTAAAGGAGCCAGGCAAAGTGTTTAAGCTGCACTAACATACTGCCACCGTGACTCCAACACGTGGTGGGGTTTTACTTGTCCTAATTAAAGCCAGGATGCTCTGATGCCATTTACAACAGCTAATCGCCACCAGCAGTGGTGGCAGAACTAAAAGGGATGGCCATTAACAAACCAGCAGCAACTAACCACTCGCCTTCCTCATGCTCTTGCTTTCAAGTGGGAGAGGCAGCAGCCAGATGTGGGGAGGAAGCTGTACAAACCTTGTAGAGTGTTTCATCCCAGATGGAAGTTCTAAAACAAACACATTCCAAGGGACGGGAAAGGCGCTTCAAGTCCTCCTCACGCTCTTTGAAAATCTGGGAATAGAAAAGAGATTGGCAGCTGAGTGTCAATATTCCTGCCTTTGGCGTGGTTGCTGTACTGTGTTTGCAGCGTGCACTTCAAACCCGTCTCAAGTACCTACAGCACTGGAGAGAGGACAAGAGCAGAGCTGGCCAGGCCAGGCCGGAGAAACCCCTCCAGAGCAGCAGGGTCAGGTAGACTGAGGCTGTCCTGCCATAGATCTGAGCAGGACTCAAAGCTGAAATAACCATGGGTGTTGTGGAGGGAATAGGAGCAGACACATGTGAGTGTCTCCAAGGACCCAAGTTCTGACAAGTCCCTGGTCACAGGCAAAAAGCTTCGTCACTAAGAACAGGACAGGACTGTCATCACTCTGGAGAGGGGCTTCTGACAAGGGCCTGTAGGGACCGGACAAGGGGAAATGGCTTTAACCTGCCAGAGGAGAGACTGAGATGAGCTCTTAGGCAGAAGCTCTTCCCTGTGAGGGTGCTGAGGTGCTGGCACAGGGTGCCCAGAGAAGCTGTGGCTGCCCCATCCCTGGCAGTGTTCAAGGCCAGGTTGGACACAGGGGCTTGGAGCAAGCTGCTCTAGTGGAAGGTGTCCCTGGCCATGGCAGGGGGTGGAACTGGATGAGCTTTAAGGTCCCTGCCAACACAAACCAGTCCGGGATTCTATTAATACAAGCAGCTCCAAGGCATGCACTCCTACAGCCTCCTCATCTCACCCCATGCTCTGCCCTTACAGGTTATGGCTATGAAAAAGGGGAGCAGAGGAACAACAAAGCCCAGAGAACGCTGTGCCAGCTCCTGCAGGACTGCTAGTAAAGCAGCAGGGCAGCCAGCAAGGAGCCTCTGCAGGGGAAGGCACAACAACACCTGCACCTCAGCACACTGCATTTAGGAACGTGATGGAACATTAACCAATCCCCAGGGAATGCTGCGTGAGGCAACACGTACCATGTGGGGCCTGGGACACCAAAGGCTTCAGTAAGATTTACAGTGATTTGGACGGGTATTTGCATATTCTTCTGAGTAGCAGATGCCTTAAACCAGATCTCGATGTGTGTGCAAGGACACACATGGAAAGCATATCTGAAGCAAGGCCCCTCTTCTGTCTACCCTCTGCTTCAAGGCCTCACTGGAGGCTGCATAACCACACAAAACCAGCATTTGCACCAGGCAAATCTGGACAGGGCAGAAGATTTTAGGCTCGTCCTTCAGCCCACAGGGAAGTGAGGAAAAGCTCCTTGAATCAACCATGCAGACAAGCTCTGAGCCATTTCTGCACTGAGCTGGAGGCAGAACTAAAACTGGAAGCAGAGGATCAGCCCTCTCAGGCACTGAGAGCAATCCAAAACCAGCCTGCACGTGGAAGAGTCAGTCTGCAAGGGAGGTCAGGCTGCGGTTGCACCCAGAGGGCTCCTCTGGGCTGCCCAGGCACACACTCACCAGCAATCACAGGATGGTTTAATAAGACTTCTTGCTTCAGACAGAAGCCAACAGCCTAAAGGGGTCTCCAAACCTGCTGCAAGCCAGGCAGTGGCCCAGCAGCCAGCGATGTGCTTGTCTAACCCACAAAGCTGTGTTTTCTCTCAGCAGAGAACAGACCCAACTGACAGAAACCACCTTCCAGTCACATAGGAGAGTTTCAACTCTTTTAGGGGGTTTTGGGTGGGTTTTTTTGATTACACTTTAGGACAGAGTCCATGCAGGACTGAAAGCAACAGCTAAAGAGAAACCAACTGCCACTGTCAGCACCATGTGCAAAGCCATCCAAATGGTGAGCAGGGGGTTCAAGGTTACTGGATTTCTTTCAGTTCTACCTCCTTTGGGGAGCCAAGGTCTGGTGGAAGTACCAGAATCAGTGTTATAAAGGAAAAGGCTTAGGGTAGTTGTCATTAAAAGTCATTAGTTCCATTCTCCATCACACTATATGCAAGAGATGACATAAATTCACAAGAGGCAGAAAAAGCTTAGAGGGCTTTGACATTTAACATCTGAGAAACCCTTCCAAGAACAGCGGTGGTGGAGCTGGATTTGAAGTATCAAATCACAACTTGCATTAGCACAAAGATGCTCTATTTGAAAGCATTTCTATGGCAACTATCAGCTTCTCACCAAGTCCCGCTGATCCTCCTGCACCAAGTCCATCTTGTGCACTAGACAAAAGATCTTTGCATCGGGAGAGTTCTGAAGGATTGCCTCCAAGCATGACTGGTAGTAGTGCATGTCCTTCTCCAGTTCACGGCTCTCCACATCAAAGACATAGATGAGGACTTCCACGTTGCGGAAGATGTTGTCCCGCTGGCTGGTGAAGTAGTTCTCCATGAAGGTGTCCTGTCTGAGAAGGAGCAGAGCAACAAAGCAGACTCCCATTAGAGCAACCAGGTCTGGCTTTAGCATTGTCAGGAATCAGAATAAAAGACAAGGGCTGTGCTGGAAGGGCCCTTAAAGCTCATCCAGTTCCAACCCCCTGCCACGGACAGAGACACCTTCCACTAGAGCAGCTTGCTTCAAGCCCCTGTGTCCAACCTGGCCTTGAACACTGCCAGGGATGGGGCAGACACAGCTTCTCTGGGCACCCTGTGCCAGTGCCTCAGCATCCTCACAGGGAAGAGCTTCTGCCTAAGAGCTCATCTCAGTCTCCCCTTGGTCAGTTTTAGTTCTCAGCATGCACCCGTTTGGATCAAGCTGGTGATGAGCAATTCTGAACCCAGCGTCACCTCCCACCGCCTCAGGAGAAGCCCAGGTGAAGGGCTCAGGCTTGCTGCCAGCCCAAGGGAGCAGGCAGCAAGGGAAGGGTGGACTTACAGACCGTGCCTTTTGCGCAGCGATAGCTCAAGAGGCAGCGTGGCCTCCACACACAACCCAAGATGTGGCATCCGTCCTTCCAGAGCTGTCGCACCAGTTTTACAGTGCACACGTGAAGCTTGTTCTATTGCCTCCACACAAGCAGCACACACATCCCTCTGGTTTGTCCCATCCCCAGAGCTAACCCCAGCAGTTCCAAAGGCAGAAGATCAAACAGTACCTACCCTCCGCAGTCCCAGAGGTTTAACACCAGGTTTCCTAGGAATCTAACATGGGAGTGCTCCACGTCAACTGGAAAGAGACAGCAGGAGTGAACCACAAACCCAGCTCAGAGCTACCTCCTTGGGCAGCCAAAATGCTGCTCTTCACAGCCCACAGCTTGTAAAATCCCATCCAAACACCACTGCTGGATATAAACCTGTAGCTGAAGGCACTACAGAGACAGCTCCTAGAGTAATTCAAGCCTTTCTATTCCCTACCTTGGACACTGCTCTCCAGAGAAGGACAGCAGGAGGTTTCCCTTTAGCAGCATGTACTCTGATCTTTGTGATAGTTTAAGAATGACACAAGATCCAGCACACCCTGCAAGGCCTTAAACGAGCCTTAGAAACAGTAAATCAGTAACACAGAGAATGTGAACTTTATGAACAGGCCACATATATGGCAAAGAGGGACTGCAGACCACCTCACCAGCGCTTCCCAGAGAGGAGCATCAGATCCTGACAACTCCTACCTCTGCGGCAGAGGCATCACTTATTGCTTTTTCACATCAGTGGTTTTGGAGGTAAAAAAGGCACAAGACATTAAGCCAAGTGCCTCACCCTGCCACAAGCTTGGGTGCTTAGAGACACCACTGTGCTCCAGCTGTGCTGTGATCAGCTGGCCAACAACAGGGAAGCTTCTCCAACACACATGAGGCTCTGAACACTCCTCAGTCGGTGAAGCTGCAGCAATGGCTGCCTCCTGGTCAAAAAAGAGATTTAAGGATAAAAGCTCACCCATAAAGCAGCAAAACTGAACCCAGAGCCGCCTCCCCTTTCACTCCAGCTCCCTACCCGCCCTCAGCTGAACTCAGCAGTGAAGCTCCTGTAAGGTGGGGAGGATGAGCACCCACCCACTCCAGCGCAGAGGAGAGGTGGGACTGCTGCAGGGAACAGCCTCTCCCCTTTAACAGAGGGGGTTTGCACCCTGAGAGCCCGCTCTTCACACAGGAGAGCTCTTACTTGTGGCACCCAGACGCCGCGTGTCCCTGGCGATGTAGTTTGCAAAGATAATGGACCTCATGCTGGTCTTCCCAGACCCACTTTTACCCATCAGCAGCACCTGGGAAGGAGAAAATACAGAGGAATTAGCTACTACAGAGCAGCAAGTGCTTTCTGCCCCTCTCAGGGTGAACAGCTTACTGCTGAAGCCACAAGAACACAAGACCAACACATTTCACATGTGAATGCACCAGAAGAGAGAGGCAAAGAGAGGACCTGGGAAAGCAGGAGATGGACACCCTTACCCCTCCGTGCTATCCATGGCCACTGAATTGTGGGCCAGGTGAAACCCCTTCCACCCTGGCTGCATTCCTGACCTGTGCCTCTCAGCCCCTTGGGAATCTCTGCCCTTCCAGGCTCCAACCACCTGAGGTGCAGCCCCTTTTTCCAATGCATCCTGGCAGAGGATTGGGAACCAGCACTGGGTGAGAGCAGGAGCTGCTCCAGCCTCCCCCATCCCATGCCTTGCACTCACATAAGTCCCAAGTGCACCAGCGCCACGGGGTAAGGCAGTAAAGGACTTTGCCAAGATGAGAGAACACCTTTCTCTCAAGCCTTTAAGACCAGGCTGGAAACAATCCCATGCCCACCCAGCATGGATATTCTGCACCCATTACTTCTCTTTCCTTATCACAACATGACTTGTTTTCTCTTCCCCAAGAGGTGAAATAGACATTACAGTTCAAGTTGCAGCAGAATGTTAGAAGCCGATGGGACAGCCCAGGTCAAGTCACCAAGCTGTCATCTTGGCACCTGACGCCAGAGTCATGGAATCCCAGACTGGTTTGCGTTGGAAGGGACCTCAAAGCTCATCCAGTTCCAAACCCTGCCATGGGCAGGGACACCCTCCACTAGAGCAGGCTGCTCCAAGCCCCATCCTGAGCCTTGATCTGTGCAGATCACTGGGCCAAAGGCGAGGAAGCACCTTTGGCAGCCAAAGGGGATGACTGGAGGCAGAAGAGGGGCACCAGTCACACAAGGAAAGCCTCTACACTGTGATCTAAAAATACAACCTGAAGCACCCCAGCAGCACAGGCTCAAACACAGCTGTTAAACAAGTTCCGACTACAAAGGCAAACCCAGCCTTTGACAGCTCCGAGTCTATCATCAAGGATCGCTTTAACAGAGCACAACCAGCCCATGGCCTGCCCAGCCCGCAGCAGTGCCAGAGACCAGCTGGGGAGCCACCAGCTTCACTTCCCAACTGGACACCAGCAGCAGCCACAGCCTCAGGGCTGCAGAGGCAGAATCAGCCCATCCTGTTGCACAGGTTATCCCTGTGCCGCTGAGCACACACCTGATGTGGTGACAAGGGCTCTCCTCGGAGAGCCAGGCTGGTCTGCTCACACCTATCAGCCTCTCAGAGCAAAGCCCTGCAGATACACTGTGCTCTCCCCACAGTGAGCTACAGGCCCCCACACAAGTGCTTCAGGAGGGTCTCCTCTCCCCTCATGCTGTGTGAGGCACAAGAGAGGGTTCTGCAACAGGAACCACAAACACACAGCAGTTACCATGGACGGCTCCGAGATGAGCCAGCAAACAAACTCGAACTCATTTCAACGACTTCAAGCACAGGATACATCTGTGACTCTGAGGCACCCAAAAGCCAAAGAATACCCCAATATGGTGCAAACACACAGCGACATCAGCAAATACAGGGAAGCAAAACCCAACTGCAGAGGACCTGCATTTCGGTTCTTACCTTTTTCTTCATGGCTGTGCTTGGCATCACCCACCTGCAGAGAAAACACCACCTGAGATCGCTGCTGCCCTCAGGCCTCCACTTCAACCCCCGCATCCCATCCCGAGCGGGCAGCGGGTGCAAAAAGGGAAGCGCTCCCGCACTGACACCACCCCCCAGCCTCCGCCCCATCGGGCACTCGACAGCTCCGGCTCCAGCCGCCGGGGGAATCGCTGGCACCGGCCTCCCCCCGCTGGAGAACCCTGCAACCCGGCCCTGGCGAGCGGCACTCCCGTCACTGCGCGGCCAAACAGGCCTCAGCGGGAGCAACGCGGCCGGCGCCGGGAAGCCGCGGGACCCCGCGCAGCCGCCACCCGCCCTGGTCTCCTTGCATACAGCGGCCGGCCCCGGAGCCCCCCTGAGCCCACAACGAGCGCGGCGGCCCCACCAGCCCGCCCCCAGCCGCACCGGGCCCCACAGCTGCTCAGCCAGGCCCCACCGCCCCCCGCTACCTCTATCTGCGAGAGGCGCCTCCCGGTGCGGCTCGGCGGTGCCCGCAGGGGGTGGCGGGGGTGCCCGCCGGAGCTCCGCAGTGCCCGAGCGCCCCCGCTCCGGGGTAGGCCGCAAATCCGCGGCCTCGCGTGGATCCGCAGCCCCACCGGGGCCTCGCCCGCTCCCGCCGCGGCGCTCCGGGACTCCCCCGCCCCCGGCGCCGCTCACGAGACACAACCACCAATCACGTCTTTTTGTATTGCTGCCGCTGTTTCTTGCAGTGTCCTCTTCCGACTTCCTCGAACCGCGTTTTAACACCTCTTCCGCGCGCCCCTCTTCTAAGCCGCTGCAAAGCCCGTGATATCAAGAGAAATTCACTAGGTGCCCAACAGCTTTCCATTACCGTCTATATGCTCCTATAGAAGGCGGCAACGGCACAAGGCGTCCCCACTGCACACAAGCGGGTTCACACACCAAGGGAGGGCCCGAGGGTCCTCCCGGGAGCTCCCCTGAGGGGCTGCCATTGGCCGCTCCCGTCCCCGTGCCTGCGCACGGCCGCCCGGGATCCCGGTGCCCCTCCCGGTGCGCTCGGTGAGGGCAGCGCCGCTCCCGGTGCTCCGCGGCGGCCACCCCGCGGTGTCCCGGGGCCCGGGCGTGAGCAGCGCTGCCCTCTGCCGCCCCCTGCCGGCCGCAGAGCAGATGCCAGCGGTGAGGAACGGTTTTGGGAGGCGAAGGCACCGGGACAAGGACGCGGAGCGTTGCTGCACGGGACACCCGGGGGTCCAGGCGGGGCCTCGGGGTGCAGTCGTGCTCCTCCTGCCCTGGGTGCTCTTAACTTAATTAGCAGAACTGGTAATGAAAGTCTAGAAGGGACTGGAGGTGTCCACCTCCCGCACAGCGCAGCACGCTGTGAGTGTAGGGACAGCTAAAAACCCCACAGTGACCATGACAATAACCCACTGAATTACACGAAAAAGCCCCGGGAATAGACGTAAAGGACATGTAAAGGGTTCATAGGGGTGATGTGGCTCTGAGCACAGTGAAGCGGCTCCATCAGCCACTTCCCGCATTGGAAACCCTCGTTGTGCATCACTGGGTGAACAGCCAGCACAGGGTTCCAGAGCACTGGTACGAGGCACTGCAAATCGGCATGTTGGGGATGAGAATTCCATTCATTCAGGTCAAATCACGCTTCCTGCAAGGCAGAGAAGCCTTGGAACTGAAGCCTCGGGACCTGCCCGTCCCCTGAGTACATCTGTTTGCAATGATTAGTCCAGATGAGTCTCGATGGAAGGGAAAAGCAGTGCTGAGATTTACCCTCATGCTGCGTTGTCATCCCAAGTTACCCATCTCCCTCCAAGCAAACCACTGGAGGAGACCCAGCAGCTCATGGCAACTGATGGGAATTCCAGCCGAGCAGCAGAGGGAAGCAGTGTGAGAGTGAGGATGCTGAAAACACTCAGGATATAAACCAGCATGTTCTGTTAGAGGGCAGCAGCACCACGCTCACCCGTACACTGCAGCTTCTTCATGACATCCCCGGGTGTCACCAAGACAAACCCCTCAACATGGGCTTGCTGGCATTAGTTGTGTTGTTTCACAGGAAAAGTAGACCAAATCTGCTCTTGTGAGTCACACTTATTCCTAAAATCTATACACTTCTAAGAAACACAGACTCAGTTATTGAGGATTCAAGTTCCCCGTTTTCACTGAGGAGCAAAAGACTCAGACAAATCCATGAGGTTTTACTGGCTGAGAAATGCAAGCTCTCACTCATGTAAGTGCTAGTACCGTGCTGTGGTGAGATCTGATATAAACACTGAGTAAATGTCTGTAAATGCTCTCTGACAGCCCGTGTTCTGGTAGCACACATTACCCAAAACAGGCCCTCAGGCCATGGTTCTACTGTCCCATTGCTGCTGTGAGGACAGCTTTGCCTATGCAAAGAGCTAACAAACCCCTTTGGCATTTCCCCTGCCATCCAAAAACAAGAACAAAGCAATACACATTCAGCTTAGTTACATCAGGCAGGATTACTCTTAGGGCATCGCATTCAGACCATCCACCAGCCTGGGTGAAATCAGAAGCTGGTCAGTTCAGGTTTGCTGCTGGTGTCCCCCCAGCTCCCCTGCAGGGAAAGCACAGTACAGGAAACAGGTCCTGCAGAGAGGCAGTGCTGTAGGGAGGTCCCTGTGTCCCCCGATGTCGCTCCTCTCTTCACACATGTATTGGAGCCAAAAGGGGAGACTGATGCCTCACAAAGAGAGCACTGCTGCGGCTTTGTCTTTCCCTCACTGACACCCGTGCCTGCAGAAAGCACTCGCAGCGTTTCCAGGCTCTTGCACGTTACAGCAAGGATTAGAAAGAGACAAAAGCCCCCAACCCCAAACTGTCAGCCGCAAGAAGTATCTGCCTTGGCCCCGGCTCAGCGCTCAGCAGGAGAGGAGGGGATTAATGGCTGCTGGCAGGCGGCAGGGCGCAGCGGAGGCAAGTGCCCCGGGAAGATGGAGAGCTCCAGCAGGCTCAGAGACATAACTCACACCAGATGCCTTTGCTCTGGGTTCTCTTCCCCTCCCCTGGTGTGATAATGATCCTGATTTATGAGCGGAGATGCAGCAGCACCCTCTTCCCAAGCGCTGCGCTGGCTTCACAGCCTGCCTGCCTCCTTATTAACACTCCTTATCCCTCCCTTTTCAGGGAGAGCGACGGTACGAGGTGGAGGAGAAGCAGTTGCCTAGAGATCAGGCTGTGACGCTGATCCTCAGCCCATGCTGTTTGCCAAGCATTAGTAACCAAACCTGTGTGATTTCTGCCTGGGTTTCTGGGCTCTCAACAGGTCTCTAGGGCAGTGGCAGTATTCAAACAGGCAGGAAGGACGCAGGGTGTTGGTTTTCCTCCACACACAGCTCGGGTTTGCAATCTCCATGCTTTAAGGTGTGGCTGTTTTCAAGTCCCTGAGCTCATTTAAAGGTGGGAAATGCTTTCCAGAACCAGATTTGGATTTTAAATAGCACTATTGTCTGTCTTCTTCCATGAATCCCATCCAGCCATGGTCTGCTGCCTGGAACTGGAGTGTCAAACCCTGCTCCTCTCTCAGTGGGTGCCCCAACAGCACCCGGCTTCTAAACCGCGCTATTTGCATCCAGCACTTCACACATACAGGATGAGCCTGTGACATAAACAACACCTCCCCATCTCCCACTCCTTTATGTAATCTCTGCCTCCGCACAAACACATGGTTCATGAGGCTCCAAAGCAAAGCCCCAGTCGCTCAGGACTCATGTCTTTGCTCTCTGGCCCATCAGCTAAACCTAATCCCAAGGCACAGAACTTGTCAGGTGGTGCAGACCGGCTCCCGCTTCTCTGGTGCGAAGCCCACGGTGTTAATTTGGTGGGCAGGCTCCCTGGGACCCCTCTGTCTGTCACTGATCATCAGGCCCAGGCCAGGCTTTCAGCATCGTGAAGTTATAAGAAAGCTATAAGAGGGGCTTACCGAGCCACGTGTCACCATGAGAAACCACCACGCGACTGCTCTGAGCCCTGCATTCGCTGCCAGCGGCTCCAGGTGGAACTCAAGATGTTTGGTTTCCATCCATCAAGCAGCGAGTTCTGCCGCAGCAGCGGGTGCCCTTTCCCTGTGCCAGCATCCTGCAGCTGAGACTGGAGAGAGGAGTGAGGCTGGGGTATCTATCGCTCCTGTGAGGAGGAGTGAACTGATGGCACAGAATTCCCTGTGGAGCTGCCGCAGCCCTCAGACTCTTTGCTAAGTTGGAAGAAGCTGAAAGTTAATAGTCTCTTTGTGCTGAAATAGACATCAGGATCTCATCAGTTGTAGGGAAGTGTGGTCTAAGGGAAACCAACAAGGATTTGAACACCAACAGCTCTTAATGGGTGTAGTGTCAGTAATGGATGTGCTGGGAGGCCTGTGCATCCATTACTGACACTACACCCATTAAATCACAGCTACGTGCACTGTTGTTAAAGTCAGGCCACAACTCTACCTCTGAGTCTTACATTGTCTCACATCCAGACTGCTTAGGGTGTAAACATGGTCTAGAGCATTCCCAGCCTCATGATTCCCAGCGCTGAACAGACTCTGTGGTGGCTAACACGTTGGGAATGTGCCTGGATGCAGTGTGAGCAGGTACATGGTGATGTTCCAAATGTCTATTTAAAGGCTCCACCCTCCTGTCCCTGTTCTAGAGCTTTTTGGCTCTTTTGTGCTTCCTGCTCCTCCAGCCACCTCTCCCTGTATAAACATCCCCCATCTCTGAAAGCAAGGCATTTCCTCTGCTGTAGAAGTCCCTTTTGTCCTTGTGCTAAACCTTCATTATCCCATTATTCCCTGCCAATGCCCTTGTCTCCAGACCCACACTGGTCCCACTGGCTGCTGGGCTCTGGGCACCCATCACAAGCAGCTTGGTGTCATGGGGCCAGGGGCTCCCACAGGCCCCCAGGCAGGCTGAGCTCTCCCTGTGCAGTGTCTCAGTCCCCACCTCCCATGCCAGGCGTGAGCTGTTTCTGCTGCAGGGCTGGTGCAGGCATCCACATGGTCTCAGAGGATGGGAAACGCTGGGAAGCTCTGGAGCGCACCCAGGTCTGGCAGCTCTCCCAGTGTCACTGTCCCAGCTGGCAGCAGGGGAAGCAGGAGGCACCTATGGATTTGGAGGGATGGAAAGGAGGGAAGAACAGGGCAGTGAGACAGCAGGAACTGAACCCAGTGAAAGGCAGAAGCTTCCTCATTCTCTCATTCTCAGCTATGAAAACAAAGGGGGGAGTCACTACATTACCCTATGCCCAAACTGCCCCTCAAGCAGCAAGACACCTTCCTCAGGGGGTCACCACCCTGGGACTGGCCCAGTAACATGACTGCTCCCTACAGTAGCTGTGGTCAAAAGCGTATCTGTAACCAAACAGCAGGGAACTGCTTTTAATTCCCAGTTTTATTCTCTTGGCATTAACAAGCAGGAGACAGCATCAGGTCATCTGGCTGCGGAGAGGCCAAGCTGGTAACACACTGTGCCCTTCAAACCAGTGACCCATCTCCTCGCCAAAGCTGGCAGCTCAGCAGTGTTCAGTGTCCTGTCTGCCCGTGCTTGGCTTGTTATTTAATTCCAACAGAGATAGTGATGATAATCTCATTACAATGTGAATCTGGGCTTTCAACAGCACATCCCATATATGGCCCAGGAGATACTGAGGGAAGAAAGAGACTCCAGGATGGAAACAGACAGCTACTTCCAT